CACACACACATTCACACACTGGTGATGGCAGCTACATTGTAGCCACAGTCACCCTGGGGCGCACTGACAGAGGCGACGCTGCCGGACACTGGTGCCACCGGGACCTCTGACCACCACCAGTAGGCAACGGGTGAAGTGTCTTGCCCAAGGACACAACGACCGAGACTGTCCACTGGTGATGGCAGCTACATTGTAGCCACAGCCACCCTGGGGCGCACTGACAGAGGCGAGGCTGCCGGACACTGGCGCCACCGGGCTGTTGGGTCAGTACAGTGAAAGACGTCCACAGCTCACAGGTGAGTGGACAGGTGTAGGAGTCAGTGATGCTGGGAGAATGGTTCACGTTCTTCAGGTTTATTAGAAATGATGAATTGTTACATCTGATCTCTTTTCCTGTTTACAGATTTCATCATGTGTCACATGTTCTGACATCACAGCAGGACTATAAAAGACTCTGTGGGCTACAGCGTGTCAGTCCACGCTGGTCCAGGTGAGTGGACATCACTTGTTGCTCGGGGCGACGGGGTTCCAGGGCTGTTTCCGCAGTGCGCCGTCTTTATCTTTCTTCTCCAGAGGCTTCATGTGGCAGGCCAGGACCAGGTCTCTGAGGGGCATATAAACCACACCCAGCTGTGAGAAAAACCTTTAAAGCATCACTGACCAGGGCCCTGCTGGACTCAGCAGGCCTCGCCAACCAAAGCTCAAAATCTCCTGGAACTCATCCAAAGACCCTGGAAATGCTTTGAAAGAGGTCCAGGCCTCTCCAGGAGCCGCCTACCTGAACTGGTCGTAGGACGCTCTCTGGCAGACGGCTCTCAGCTTGGCGTCGTTCTCACGCTGATGTCGCCGCTCAGACTCGACTGCCACCTGCAGCTCTCTCTCCAATGCAGAGAAGTCGATGACGTCACACTGTGACATTGCCATCTCCTGATGATGTCTCACAGCTTCTTGACTTCCTGTAAGTCACGGACTGAACTTCCTGTTTAAGTACTGAGATCATCAGAAATGCAGAAAAATAAAAGTGAGCCTAAGATCACTTCTGATGGAATTCTAATAAGAAAGCAGATAGGTCACATAAAGCCCTCCTCCCTCTGCTGCAGCTCACACCACGGTGCAAACAGCGGTGACATCACAACGTGGCATCACATCAGCTACACCGATCTAATAGTGTACACGGTTATTGGTCACGTGACCTCACAGCTGCTAACTAAAGCAGCTTTGATCCAGCGGAAGTTGAAAACACGACCGGGTCCTGAACGCAGCTCGAGTCTGTCGTCAGTGCTCACCTGTAACAGCCTGAATCCTCTCTGTGTTCACCTAAACTCAGGCGCTCTCACTCCCTCCGTGAACTCTCTCGTCTCTGATCGAAAACAAACCGTTTCCATGACGACGCGCCGCTCGTGTCTTCTTCTCCTCTTCTCTGAGCGATGTCAGCTCGCTGCTGCCGCCTGTGGCCGCTGGCGGAACTGCAGGGCTGGGATCCGCCTGTACAAAACAGAACAGAATAGCGCGCCACACCATCTGTGCTGGAATAAAATATAAATATTAAACAGGAGAGATATTTTAAAAAATAAATAAAAGAAAGACATGATGATTGTGATCCGGACGAATCTGGACAGGATCAGGATCACCGTGATCACACAGTGACTTATAAACCAAACAGGAAGCCATAACGAAGCCTCCACTGTTTCCACACTTTCTACTTCAGTAATATTAGCTGATAAGGTAATATTTCTATACAACATCTCATAGGTTTATGTATTTTATATGTCATATATAGTGTATATGTAGCACACAATCGTAAAGAAATGAAACATGCAGTCAACTGAGCCTTGTGGCACAATTCATTGTAAGAAGTTACGAACTAAGAATGTTAAAGGCGATCACATTAGACAAGATGAAGGTGTTCGCGTTGCAGGTCGAGCTCAGTGCCGTGAACAGGAAGAGAAATGCTGGTGTTTGCTTATTCTGCAGCTTCTCTCGTCTCTGGTTTTTGTGGTGGTGCAGTTTTTATTTCAGGCAGTATGTTATGAGGAAGGAGCTGATGAAGTATTCCATTAATCACAGTTAACATCACACCTGAAATATTTCATTAAGAATCTTTTATTGTGTGTGAAGTTTGGCGCCCCCTGCAGCCCAGATAAATCCACTGCACCTGGATCAGAACGATAGCATAGAATAACTTTATTTTCCATATCGATGGAAATTTGTTTCCAGTTCATCAACGGATCAATCGAGTCACTTCATATCAACGCATATTTACACATGTATGTACATATGTACATATACAAAACTTCAGCGCAACAATACACATCCCAGCATCTCGTTATTCAGCACACTGACTGATGTTGGCATAAAGAACCTTTTTACTAACTAGAGTCGTCCTAACGCTGTCCTGAGCAGAGGTGGACAGTAACAGCTCTGATGCTCTGCAGGTGGACAAGTCTGTGCTGGAGAAGGTGGGGAGGCACGACCTGGTTGAGAGTCTGGAATGCATGGGCAACAACACAGGTGAACCCACAGCACAGGAGCAGCTCAGCTCTTCCTGGCCTGATTTAATCTGATAATTTAAATCTGAAAGTTTCTTTGTTTTCAGAGAGTTTTCCACTGCAGGAAGCAGGAAGTCTTTTATATCCTGGGTGGGATGTTATCGGGTCAGCACTTTAAGCTGATGCCTTCTTAACGAAGACTGAGATCTGAATGAGATGACTCCTTCCTTAAATTGTTCCTATGAAGTAAAACAGGTCAAAGATTTGATATCCACCTTTCTTGTTGATGCACTAACATGAACAAACATTTGTACTCAAGAGTTTTTTAGTGAATATTTTCCTGAAAAGTAAAATCTGCTGCAGACTGATCAGGATTCACAGCTCAGGTGTTTTGTGTCGTTTTTGTAAGCGCTCAGAGAAGAAGAAGAACCTGTTCACATATTTCTGAAGCACAAGAATGAAACAGCTGCTGATCATGATGTGAAAGCTTCTGACGAGTCTTATTTTACACCCTCAGGTCCAATGCAGCTCGACAATCCACATCACCGTCTCAGCTGAAACCGCAGAAGATGAGCATCGTCCGACGAGCAGCTGGTACCATGGTAACAGTTTACCATGATCACATCTCCCAAATAACACAAAGAGGCGATACAGCATGTATGACACACAGTTTCACAGCAAAGGATCTGAAAACCTGAGATTTCTAACTGCTCTTGTCTTTTATTCGTGTTTATTCAGCGGCTGTTAGCCAATGAAATCACATTATGCAAATAAACTGGGACAGCGGCTACTGACTACGGACAACACAATGCGAACAAAGTTACTAACAGGCAGCTAGCTGGGCTAATGCAACTTGCTGATGGAAGCTTTGCTAGCTTGCACTGTGATTGGTCATTTTTGTTATGATGCCAGGAACGCCAGTAACCAAGCGTGGAGCAGCACATCTGTGAGTCCTCCCACCAAAGCTTCAGCTCTTTGTTGACCTTTGATGATTCACACTTTGGCTTGTCGAGGCTTTAGCAGCCATCTTTGCAGGTTATACAGTATTTCTGTCTGGGGTTGGGGTTTTAGTCCTTTGGTGAATTTGTGTTAAATAAAGAGTTTGATGTGTTTGATTTCTGGGTGTGTTGAAGAGAAGCAGACCCAGCAGGACACCGTCATACACGACAGTTTATTTCAAACTAAAGTCAGGAAAATGCCCTCTTGTACAGAAAGGAATATGAAAGGAATATCTTCCCTAACAAAGTAACTTAGTTCTGCATCTGTAGTGCATAGAAACTCACTGCTATAAAAACATACATAACTATTTACAACAGTAAGAACTGTCCTGTAAAATCCACCCCTGGCCGCATGTAGTTTTAAATCCTTTGTTCTGTGTTCAGTGGAGCCTCCTTTCACTCAGATCTACAGTTTAACAGTCGATAAAGCTTCTGCCTCTCGTTCGGAGTCGAGCGTTTCACATGCGTTTTCTATAATGTTCCATCTGCTGATGAAGCTCCATATTTATGATCATCACATCATAAAGTCTAGAGTTTGATCCAGTGTTTAATACGTTGCATGTTTTATTTAACTTAAACATACTCATGGTATCAACACTGATGTAGAAAATTATTTTGCCGTGTGAATCTGTTTCCCAGCATCAGTGAATGCAGCGCAGAGTGGTGGCTGCTCTGGTAGATATACCTGAACAGGTGGATGGAGATTCTCAGGATCACATGTGCAGCTGCTCTCCACAGTCTGCCAGGGAGACTCTGTACACCCTCTTTGGGTTGGTGTGACTTTCTGGTTCACAGAAAGTCACACCAAGTCATACCTTGAAGGTAAATTTCCAGTCATCTGCAGAGGAGGGTCTGAAAATTTAAAAATACTTCGAAGGATCGTGTCTGTACAGTGAAGAAGCACAGGATCCTGAGACGGTGCCATTCAATCAGGATGCTGTTTGTTCTGCTGTGTTTTAGCTCATTTAAGGCGTGATGCTGAGATGCCGACATGATATACTCAACATTTACATTTTATATATATGAAATTTATAAAAAGGGTTTTTGGGTCTAGGCAACACAGCCAGCAGGTCCTGGGTCAAAGTTTAACATCCACAGAGTGAAAAAACAAAACAATAAGGCAACAGAAGATGAGTTCAGAGTTCCACGAGTTTCTCAAAGGGTCCTGAACCAGTCTGGTTTACTGTGAGGCATTCAGAGGTTTAACAGGACATTCACCACTTTGGTATTTTGTCTTGAAGGAGAAACAAACATGCTGGTTTCAAACCTGTCCTGGAGGTTTACCCAGGATCAGTTCCTGTGTTTCGGTCCAGAGAGCTACAAGTCTGGCAAACGATGTCGTTGTCACATGTTTGATGGTTTTAAGGTGCCAATAAAACGTCAGGTTGGGTCTGCTCCTTTTAAAGAGGAGTGAAGAGGTTTCAGAGCCAACCCTCGGTATCAGGTGGTCCTCTCAGATTCCCACATTTGGCTCCTGGGTCAGAGAGGAGGGGGTGTGTAGGTCCAATGTCCTCGAGGGTGTTGGAAGACTCGCGTCCTCTGAGGGTTCTCGCAGGACGCAGAGTAAATTCCAGGAGTTTCCTTTTAGCTCTCTGAGAAAACAGTCGGGAACTCGTTGAGCAAGAGCTCCACAATCCGGCTCTGGAACACCATATGAATCGTCATATTTGCCGACTCAGTCTCGGGGCTAAGCAGTGTGGGTCCGAACACGATGGCGATACTCTGAACCGACATCCTGTTAGAGTCCTTGTGTTCGATCACCCTGGAGAGGCACAGACAGATACACGTTGTTTCCAAAGCAGACCTAATCACCTTCATGCTCTGCCGCTTCATTTTTACTTGCAGACTAATTTTATTTTAGCTGACTGATTATTTGGGAGTTACAGATCTATTTCACCATTGCCATGATCCAGTGCATTCTACACCCTTACCCAGTGTGTAACTGGGACTGTTAGGGGTTATCTGGCAGAGAGCAGGCTGGCCGAGTTAGCAGTGTTTTGGGCACTGCTCACTCCGCTGTCTGTCTGCACTGGTTCATAAAGCCTCGGAGCAAACTCACTTTCGCAGGTGTCTGAACAGCAGCTCCATGGTGTTGTGGTTCGGTAGAGGAAGAGTCTGCACCAGATCCTTCATGTAGGACACCCTCAGGTTGTAGTCTGGGACTTCTGCAAACACACACACAGCTAAGGTTCTGTACTACAACAGTTTAGAGGCATGACGGCACTTTTCGGTGTATCGCTCATCACAAACGTGTGCTGGGATTATTGCGATCTCGTTACTTTGTGTTTCTCTGTGGTCACCGTGACACCAGGAGACCTGACTGGAAGAGTCGACTGCTCGGTCAACCTCTGCACATTTACAACTTATCAGATGTAGTCGTGCAGAAGAATTATGGAAGGAGCAATTCATCGGAAGGACTGTAGATTTTGACCAGTAAATTGAGTAATCTGATATTCTCGCAAAAGAGTTTATCAATGCAATGACCCCAGAGAGATTGGATTGTGAGTTTTGGAGAAAAAGTAACACATCATAAGTTAAGATAAGATAACCTTTATTAGTCCCACACGAGCTGATGTTCCGGGAGTGTCATTATAGTCTAAATATAGAGTCCACTCTTTTTAAAAATATTTAATAAAGTCTTCATCTTTAAGCAGTGATGTATTAAATCTCCAGATGTGTTCAGCTGTTCGAGTTTGCAAATATTTAATGCAGGCTAATGTTATTAGTGCTGGAAAGCCAAGAGTTTGCACAAAAACGTAAGTGAACATGAGAAAATTGTTAATGATAATTTAAGAATGCTGTCTGCTTCATTCAAAGGAATATGAGCTTCAGCACAACGAGCTGTAAGAGTAAGAAAAGTTTACTAACTGGAGTCAGAACATTGTCTCCAGTTCTCTTCAGTTTGTGTCCTGATGTCATGTTAAATGACTGTGTGGGTGATGTTCTTAATCATTACTTAGAGTTTGTGCTGTTATGGAGCCCAGTGTGATATTTTGTTTAACCCTAAAAAGAGTTATTGCGATTGCTTTAACTACAGAGGATCTTTTTATTTAGCAGACCTGGAGTGGTGAGATCCTTGGGTCATATCTAGAAAAGTGATCTTGGCGATGATGATGATGATGATGATGTGATGCGCAGTGCTGTAAGTTGTGTCGGTTCTTAACTTTGACTTGTGTTCAGATGATGTTAAAGTGGCCCTTTTTCCAGCCTGCTGTACATCCGGCTACGCTTGTGGTGTCGTTAGAGTAAAATCATAATGTAAAAACTGCAGGATTGTCAGGATGCATATAGAGATGGAGATCTGCAAGTAATGTCCCAGGTTTTCCTGCTTCACTGAGGAACTGTGTGTGTGCAAATGTATGCGCCGTTCCAATGAGTCTAGAAAGAGTGAAAACAGTTGGATTTACATTGTTGCTCAATCACAGCTGCCTGATGTTTGATGTTCGATGATCGATGTGAGTCTGTGTGAGTGAAAGACAGAGCGAGCGACAGATTTTGTGTTATAAGCTTCATGTTATGGACGCACAGTGTGAGCACTCAGGTCGCATCAGAGCATCAGGCCGTATAGTGTGAGACCTGCATCGTGACCTACGAACTTCTCACCCCTGCGAGTCAATCGTGCAGTTTGAGCAGGAGCTGAATAACCCGACTGAAAAAAAAAGTGTATGCCCAGCTTTACCCTCCTTCAGGTAAGAGCTGGGTTAAAGACATAAGATAAAAACACGAGTAGACCAGGGCTACTGCAGGTCTGGTACAGTGTGTGACATTTCCTTTGCTGTGTATTAACATGTATGTGTCAAACAGCGTGTGTACTGACGGATGGCGGCGATGAACTTTTCGAAGACGCTGAAGGGAAACAGCGGCTCTGGAAGCTCCCGCAGGAAAAGCTTGAGAGCGCCGGTGATCACGTGAATCTCCTCCCACTGTCCGTCCTCCAGGTCCAAGTGCTCCTCTGCAGAAACAGAGGACAGCTTCAGTCTTCTGAAACCAAACTTTAGATCAAACAGACTTTGGGTTCAGATCCATCTGTTAGACGCGAACAGCTTCGTGTTGCTGCCGCAGGTCTGAACGATCCATCAGACCGTTTGAATCCAGGGAGAAATCACGTGACCGTTACCGAACATGAACTGAGTCAGCGACGCATTACCGTGGTCGGCTTTGTGTCGTAGTTTCTGGATCACGGCTAGGTTTCCGTTCACTCTGTAGATCCCGTCTACGTCCAGACCTGAACACAGCGAGTGAAGCCAGTTAGTAGACAAACACCTCTGTCCAGTTCATCAGTCGCTGGGTTACACCTTTAAGAATTGTTTCATTTCCACCTTAGACAAAAACAACATCTGAATTCTGTCGCACAACACTTCACCATAAATCCCTGTTTCAGTGCTGTACGGCTGCAACATCATGTTAGATTCAGTACGACTACAAATCCAAGCTAATGAGCGAAATTGACCCACCTTCAACCATTAAATCACAACACGATGTGAGCCTTAACACACACACACACACACACACACACACACACACACACACACACACACACACACACACACACA